ATATACATATATATATATATATATACACACACACACATATATACATACACATATATACACACACACACACACATATATATATGTATGGGGGTGAAAGGGCAGCAGATTGCCAACAGGAGGCAGTTTCAAATGCATTTTCCCAAGCATAAAACACAGGAAGGCATTAAAGGAGAACTATGAGGTGAGTGCTTTTCACTCACCTCATAGTTCTAGCCGACCTGTGACAATGAGACTGTCAGAGGTCGGCTCAGTAGATCGGGAAGTGAGCGAACACATACCGGCGTTCGCTCACCTCTCGATCCTGTCACGGCTCTCTGCCGTGACAGGGGAGGGGCTGGATTCCCCGCTCCGAACCGCCAGCGCTGACTGGCGGAATGGACGGGGGAGAGGGGCGGGTACAGCTGGCTCTGCCTCTAGACAGGCAGACCTAGCTGTCAGTCACGCAGCTGGGCGGATCCAGACATAATTGTCGGGATCTGCTTCAGCTGCGGCGTCTCAGTATACCGCGAGCTACAGCTTGCGGTATACTGAGCCTAGGGTGACGGGAGGACGCTAGTTTGTGTCCTCCCGTTACACTGAGAACTATGGGAAAAAGCCTTAACCCCATAGTTCTCCTTTAAGGTGCTTTTAGAATTATAACACTGGTACAGAAGCATTATTAAGCTGCATAGTGTGGAAGATATACAGTATGTCCAAGATTAAAACCGCCTATGTACTCCTACATTTAGGCCCCATTCACACCTAGGCGTATTGTAATATGCGCGTCTGTCGCGCGACCGTCACGCGTTTTTTTTACCGCGATTCGCGGTAAAAAAGTCGCGCGATTCCAAAGGCTACTTGGCTGTATCCCAATGGAAAACGCCCTACAAAACGGCCCAAAGTAGTCCCGGGACCTTTTCAGGCGTGGGCCGTTTTGTAGGGCGTTAGGGACGGGAAATACGCCTAGGTGGGAACGAGGGCATTGACTACAATGCTATTTATTTTTTTGACCGTTTTGTAGCGCGTTCGTCGAGCGTAGGACGCGCTACAAAACGGTCAGGTGTGAACGGGGGCCTAAGAATGTGGCTGCCTTTATGTGCCTAAAAAGCTCCTGGGGCAGGAAAAAACACAAAATCTCATCTAACCATCCTAGAGACTGGGGTGGACTCATGAAATAATAGTAGCAACAACTGCTGAAATTATTTTTATTGCAAAACAGGTGTAAATGGAGGTGATACTTTAGAGTGGACCTAGCATTAAAAGCCACAAACGTTTACTATAAATTATACATCATTTTAAATGTCTGCTTAATGAAAACGGGAGGCCATTTGTCCGAAAGTTTATGTTATACCAGAAATGGATGTTTCAACACCCCTCCTCATGTGTCACTTCCCCCTCCCTTTTAGATTGTAAGCCCTCATGGGCAGGGCCCTCCTTACCACCTTGTCTTGATTTGTATTGCGATTGCAATGTCTTCCCTATATTGTAAAGCACTGCGCAAACTGTTGGCGCTATATATATCCTGTATAATAATAATAATAATGATCTGAAAAACACTACCAAATCCACCAAGGGATGGCTCAAAAAGAAGAATAGAAGGTTAGCCTGGTTCTATTGAAAAAATAAAAATTACTTTTTTTTCACTTTCAAACTTCCCGCCAACTCCGCCCCACTGCGACGCGGCTGCTCGCAAGGGACGGAACTCGGAAGTCGGCAGCCGCCGGAGGACACAGTGAGGAAGACCTGTATGCTGTATTCCCGAGTGTGGCTCAGGGTTACGGCTTTGTTAAACCCGATCCACACTTGGGAATACCAATGGAAATGCGCGGAAAAACGCCCCAAAGAAGCTCCTGTTCTTTGGGCGTAGGGCGTTTTTTCAGCCCGTTCCTACGCGCTGTAAAACGCCCAGGTGGGAACCATGCCCATAGGCAATTATTGGTTTTCACATGTTGAGCGTTTTACAGCGCATAGGAATGCGCTGTAAAACGCCCAGGTGTAAGCCAGGCCTTATGGTTAAATCACATTTAAATGTTTTGGGGAGGCTTAAAAATTATCATTTTGTGCAAGAAAACCTACATCTTGCAACGGAAGGAATTTTGTATGGAGGAGCTGTAAAATTTTTACCAAGTCTGATGCTGAAGAGATTCAACTACATCACCTTTATCTGTAGGCTCTCTTTTAATAAAGATCTAATCTTTGCCTCGTCAAATACGTTGAAAAACGCAACAATTTCCATGGGGGTGTACTTACTTTTTCACATGACGGTACATGCATACAAGTGAGTGGTACACACTGATATATTACAAAAAGGAGCAGTCATTACCTTGTAGCCAATTGTTTTGGACCGGCACCATTCCAGAAGGATCTGTTTAATGCTGCTGGCACTAGCTACTCCAAAACTCTGAGACCTTTTCAGCTTCACCTTGGATTCTCCCTTGCCTCTATAAATAGCACAAAAGAAAGAGAGTTTAATAATCAAGTGACCTGCTTACAAAACACAGAAGGGCTATGATTTCCCCCTTACATATAACAGAGGATATTAAAAAGGAAATGAGAAGGCAATTCTGCAGAGAAATAAATCTAATACTTATAAAGTATATAATGATCACAATATTAAACACTGCTCCCAAAACTAAAATAATGCTCGGAAGAATATAATCACATCCTTACAGAAATAAATGACATTATGGAACAGCACAGCTTACACTTTCTCAAATATATAGCCAATAACAGCAAATGAATATTTAATATTTTCCCTTCAGAAATAAATTTAATTATACAACCAAACAGCATATTCGTTACCAAATAGACTACGCAGGAAAGAAAATGAAATATTTCATATCCTAACCAATCATACCATAGCAGGTGTGCACATTCAGGTAAGAATAAGCAAATCTGCATTTTTTTTTATTTTTTTTTTAATAATCAGTCTCAATTTTCTTTCAAAAAGTCTGACTGTCCCTAAATGTAAAGAAGGTTGTAGAACATTAGTAGTCAAATTTCAAATTCATTATATTTTCATAATGGCATTGTATTAACACATAAATCACCTAAAACTAAAGAGACAATTCAAATTGTACGATATACATTCTGTAGGGATGCACCAATACCGATACTAGTATACTATACTATACTATACTAGATAGATATTCTAGACTATACTAGATACTATAGAGTCATTAAAGTAACCATGTCTTGAATTTGGAAAATTATACTGAGCATATAATGAAAAAATGCAAAATCAGGGCTTACCTACCATAAACTGCATGTCAAAATGTTTAGTAGATTCAGAAATAAAGACAACTGAAGTAAATGCAAATCCTGACTTTTTTTTTTTGTCAATCCTGGCCCTGGCTCCTCCCATCTCTAAACACTCCCAATAAGTCCTTCAATGTGACAGACAGCCTAACAGACCAATAGAGGCTCGAAAGGTAGAAAGTCGAGGGGCAATGCTTGAGTTTTGCAGGAAGCATTGAAATGTTTTATTATTTAAGATAGATAGATATATATATCTATCTATCTATCTATCTATCTATCTATCTATCGAACGTTTGATGTACTAAATGGTTTGGCAAGGCAAATTGCGTTTGGGCTGCACTAGGTAAAAATGGTCAGCATAGACCGAACGCAGATGGTGTGAACCGGCCCTCAAACAAGTCTACTACTACAAATGTAGTGTAGAGGTGAGGTAAGCATGCTGCATAAATATCAGTAGTCTTTGACTCTTCTTTTCTATCCTCTGGTTCCATTGCCATGTTTGCATACTAGCTCTTCTTTGGTGTCATAAACTTCCTATAGACCTGGGG